ACAGGAGGTAGAAGACCTGGCCAGGGAACTGGAACTGAGAGCCATGCCTAAAGCCAGGATCCAGGAGGGGCTGTTGGTCTTCGAACAGGGACCAGGAAGACCCTTCTCATAGCCCAGAGGAATGTATGTATGCGGCGTGTAGCGGAGGTGTCTCCTTTGCAGAATGGAGATCCCAAGCCTGTACTACATGTGGGTGTGGAGGCTGAATGTACACACCCAGGTTCTAAGAATTCTTTTGTTTTTCTCCCCAAAGCCCCCCAGTACATAGTTGTATATCCTAGTTGCAGGTCCTTCTAGTTCTTCTATGTGGGATGCCAGCTCAGCATGGCCTGATGAGTGGTGCTAAGTCCACACCCAAGATGCCAACCAGTGACCCTGGGCTGCCGAAGTGGAGTGTGAACCCAACCACTATGCCACAGGGCTGGCCCAAGGTTCTAAGAATTCTAAGCCAAGAGGTGAACATCAAACTAGCAAGACTTATGGAACTCCCCAACTCCTGGGAGAACAAATGGAAAAGTGATGAAAGGACACATCCACAACCTGGGGTATATGAGACTCCCAGAATAAAAACAATCTCTGCTTAAGATGATCTCCTGACAAAAAAGAACAAACCATGTGAGGAAATGAACCACCATAAAGGCGAGTCTACAGACACAACACATGGGAGAACTGGTACCCTTAGAACTAGAAGTAATTGAACAATTTAAAAGAGGCTATAGAATACGTATAATCAAAATAATTGAAGAGATGAAAGGAATAGAAACCATAATAAAAACTAGGACACTAAAAAACAATAGGCTGATTTTAAAAAATGCCAAATAGAACTTCTAAAAACTAAAAATAAAAACTAAACACTGAAATTGGGAAGGGGTATTAAAGAGCAGATTATACACAGCTATGAGGATATTCATAAACTGACAGACATCTTTGAGGAAGTGTCCCAGAATGCAGCACTGGCAGAAATGGAGATGGAAAAAAGAGAGGAAAACCAGAAAAGATGGTAGGTTTCTAAGAGGAGTTCCAGAGACAGAGAGATTAGAGAGAATTAGAGGGCAAGCAGACAAGAATTTCTAAATGAGAAGAACGACACTGAGTTCTAAGCAATATAATAAAGATGACTCTACTCTTTTACATGATGTAGTAAAACCACAGAACAGCAAAGACAAAAATCAGGTCTTAAAAGCAACCAGAATGAGAAGACATGTGAAGCTCCCTCAGGCTGCAGAGAGGATACGTTGGAGGTCAAAGAGCTAAAAGAACAGTGTACAAAGCAGCTCAGCAGCCCGGGCAGTGAGGAGGGTGGGAGTGGGAATGGAGAGAAGGGAGCACTCTGGACAAAGTTCTGGTCAACGAAGGGTACTACCATCCAGGCAGTTGCTCTGAAGTTGGAAGTAGTCCTTTTCCTCATCCCTGCTCGCACAGCACCACTGAAGCACACATCATCCCTGCTGCAGTGCAATCTGCTATTTATATAAATTCCTTGAGGTCACCGACCAGGTCTAATTTATCTTTGTCTCCCTAGTGCCCAGCACAACACATTGTATGGAGCAGGGGCTTAATAAATACTTAAATGAATTCTCACGAATCACTTAGTTGCCATTTTAAGCTTGTTCTTTGCCCTACGAAGAGATCGCCAAACTCTAATTTGAGAAAGATAACTTTCAATCAGTCCCCGATTCACTGGTTTTAATATTAAAGGTAGGTGAAGTTTTCTGCAACAAAGAAAAAGAAGGTGGTCCTCAGGTCCATGAGTCATGACTGGCAGTTATCTGTCTGGAGGTGGAGGGAGGCAGAGACCTCACATCTCTTACATACAGATTTGAACAGCTTTTGGGAGGCTGACAGAATAATTCGGGGTGAAGAGCTTTACTAATCTAACCCAAGGCACAACAGGGCAGCTTCTTTCTTCTAACGACCTCAGAGCTTTAAGAATGTTTACCTGGGAACTGTGCCCTCCAGTCCAAGAGGAGGCAGGGTCCAAGTCCCACCAGAGATGGACAAGTCTCAGGGCCTATCCTTCCAGGAGCCCAAAGGCAGATATGAGCCCCTTTATGTAGAAGGTGAGGGAGATGATACAGAGCCCAAGACTGGGGCTACCAGGATGTTCCAGCAAAGGAAGCTAGTAAGAGTCCGGGGAATATAGAAGCAGAGTGCCTATTTTCAGGCCCACTCCATTTGAAAGAAAAGACCATGGGGGAGAACCGTCCAACAGCCTCAGTACTTATTCAGAACAACTACTTTGCTGACGGATTGAATTTGGCAGAGAGAATACCAAAATGATTACAAATTACACTGCAGGGAATACCCAGATCAAAGCAGTAGTTTCAATAATTAATTGTACCAAACTAATGTTCAGATATCAAGCTAATTTCTTTCGTATGTAGAACCTTATCTCTCTGCTGCTGTTGCCTTCATGTTACTTGGCTGAGACAACATGGGCTCCTTAGGACCTGGGGAAGAATAGCCTCATCTCCACAACACCACTATTACGGTAATATTTGGATTCGGGCACTGTAGGGGAAATGACTCTAAAAGTGAACAGAGGCAAACAGACAGGGCAAAGCCTGAAGGAGAGGAGAAAGTTACTGTGAAGCTCATGGGGTTCTCCGTGCCTCACTTCACAATTCACAAGTGGGGAGAGGAGTTTGCCTTTGGACAGAGTGTACTACACACAGCTGAGGGCTGTCAAAGGTGTGTGCACCAGCCTCTTCCCTACTCAATACTCTGTTACCTGCAGACACAGCTCGTGGATGCAGCCCTGAGTGCACTGGGAAAACAGCATAGAAATCACGAGATGATTTTTCTGTTTGGGAAGGAGAGGCAATCCACACTTCCCACGGGCATTCTATATGCTAGGGCGGTGAGGATGTTGTTAACATGTGATATCATTCAATCTCTATGACAATCATACCTGGAAGGTATCATCAGTCCCACTGTTCTTAACAGATGAAGAAACCTGAGGATCAGAGAGGTTAGGAAATTTGTCCACAGATTGAGAATGAACCCCAAGACTGCCTCTAAGAGAAGCAAGAGAGAACCGTAGGGAGGGGTCACTGAGGCATCTGATTGCCATACTTTCCTACATCATGGCTCTATGCAGCTTCCTACACAAACACCTTTTTTAACAGGTCTTTGGAGGCCAAAGCTTATCAATTTTCACAGCCTCTAAATTCTCTTACATTGCTTACTCTGATAATATGCTAGGAGTTGGGAGTTAGGCCAAGAAACAGAGCTAGGCTATTTTCTTCTCTCAGCTTCAAAGACAATCTGAGTTGTTGTTGTCACTGGACCTCTGACCTGCTAAGATATGAACCTAAAGGAAGAAGAGCCAGTGCCCTTCTCTCACTGAACAAAAACTCTGCCAATCTTCTTTCCTTAGAGCAGAGAGTCAGGTCAGAATTGGAGTCTGTAAATATCCCTTGGCCTAAAGATCTGTTTTTACTGCCACAATTTGTGTGCAGTCTGCCATCCACTGCCACCCAGCAAGCACCAACCCAGGGAGTGCTGACAAGGAGGGTGGCAGAGCGGCATGCCAAGCAGCTTATGGCTTATGTTTCTCTTACTCTCTAGAGATGCTTGCCCTGCCACCAAGGGACTCGCTCAATTGTCCCTGCAAGTCCCTGATCCCACAGAAGTCAAGCCCTACTTCTCTGCTGAATTAAACATTATGAGATGCTGAGATGGCATTTCTGACACAAAGGCCTAGAAACCCTGGAACTGTCTTCCAGAAATGGTGCCATCAAAGAGGAGGAATGATGGTGTCAAAGGACGCATTGTCAGCCTTTCCTAAATGATTAATTTGGTGGGACTGAAGGTACATACACAATAGCTTACTATGGGATCCTCCTAAAGATAAATTACAAAGAGTGATAATGCCTTGAAGGTAGTCCAAATGGAGATTTGGTCATGAAGGCACCCAGTAACCCAGCTTCACCCATAACAGAGCAAGAGTTCTGGAGGAAGACATGAGTTTCTCTTCTGGAAGGTAATGTACAGTCCCATTGGCATGTGCCTATTTGATTTCTTCCAATGGGTAAAATTAAACAGCTTGGATATTTAAACAATTAGTCCTCAAGTCCGGGTTGGGACTGTTCTCGTCAGCGACTTGGGTTTCCAAAAGTAGCAATTTGGGACAACAACTGTCTTTCATCTATTCTTTTTCCTGAGTAAATGTGACAATGTTGACTCTGCCTCACACAACTGTGGTAAGTGACCTTAAGCAAGTTACTTACGTTCCCTAGACCTCAGCTTCCACAAATTCAACAGTAATAAAAGAAAACTCTTTAGGTTGTTGTAAGGATTAAATGGAATAACAAACATAATATCCCCTGCACCGTGCCTAACACATGGTAGGTGCTCAACGGAGGCTGACATCATCATTCATCATCCTCATCGTCACTGTCATCATCAGGGCATACTCCCTCTGCCTCACTCACCACCACTGTCACTGTCTCACAGACAAAAATACGCAGTCAAGGAGGCAGTCTGTGATGAAGAAAGAAGGTGTCATAAAACTATGCCAGGTGCCACATTTCTGACAAGGCCACCTACTTAAGTCTCTGTAAGTACCCAGAAATCCCTCAACTATAAAATTCACAAGGTAGACGATCACAACAAAACCTACAAAGACAGCTACTGTCAGACAGAACTGCAGCAAAAGCTGAAGGCACACAGTGGACCAAATTAGCAAGCACACGACTGGAGACAAAGTTGGGGAGGGTCTAGAGGAAAGCAGGAGCCTGGGAAGGAAGGTTTGCTTTGGAATATACTTCTAAGACACCACAACTCCTCCTACACAAGTACTGCAAGTCCTATATGTAGGGGCAAAAGAGATTTACAGGAGAAAGACTTCTGTGCCAGCTATTTTCTAGTATAGCTGCAAAAGGTGTGATTCCCCTCCTGACAATCACTTTGTCCGGGAAGCCCACGGTAAGAAAGTCCCTAGGTGCTACCCCTGCAGGACGTGGAGAGATGACATGCTTTCCCACCGAGTGGCTTACTTGTTGCTGTCTCGGTACTCGTAGATGTGACATCCTTGAGGCAATCCAGTCTCATGGTCCAGAGTAAAAGCAAGCTTTAGCTGAATAAAGAGAGAACAGAAAACAAGTAAGTTTTGGGCAGCATGCTCTATTCATTCTGACAGCTGAAATGCCAAGAGAAAAAAAAAAAAGATCAAGTAAAATCATACTTCCCTCCAGATGACGCGTTGTGGAAAACCTGGGCCTGCCACCTCTGGGAAGAGCCCATGCCTTACAGGGACACTGTCATCAATGAGGATGTTATCAAGACTCTATCTATTCACTCAGCATGCAACCAATCATTTACTAAGCACATACTTAGTGCCAGACATTGAGCCAGCTGATGGGGAAAGTAGAATGAACAGGAGCAGACAGGCCTTCTTCATGATCTTACAGTGCAGTAGAGGAGACAGATCTCAATTACGCAATCACACAATGAATATGTACATATAAGACTTCAAATTAAAATAGGTTCCCTGAGAGCCAGCCCTGGTGGTCTAGTGGTTAAGATTTGGCGCTGTTCACTGCTGCGGCCCAGGCTTGTTTCCTGATCTTGGAACCAAATCACCCACCTGTCAATTGTCCTACTGTGGTGGTGGCTCACATAGAGAACTAATAACAACTAGGAAACACAACCATGCACTGAAGCTTTTAAAAAAATAACAACAAAAGGTTCTCTGAAGCAGGAAGAAAATTCCTGTGTTTCCACAGAAGTAAATAACCTGACCTAGACTGGGAATTAGGGAAGGAGGAGGGGGTTACCTAGACTGCAGGAGGGAATGATGGGGAGAGAGGAAGGCTCTCCTTGGCAGAGAGCACAGCAAGGACAGAGGCCCTGGTGCAGCAGTTCCAGAAACTGAAGGGTGGCCGGTGAGCTGGAACTCGCCATATACGGGGAACATGGTGGGCAGCGATGCTGAAGAGGAAGGCCAGGGCAGAACATGTAGGATCTTGTTGGCCATGTTAGAATTTTTGACCTTTACCTTAACAGCAAAGGAGAGCCTTTGACATGTTTTAAGGAAGGGGTGGATGACATGATCAAAGTATGTTTTAGCAAGATCCCTCTGGCTACTGCATAGTGAACAGACTGTAGGGGAAAGAGCAGAAGTGGGAGCCCTGTGGGAGGCTACTGAGTAGCACAGGTGAGTGGTGATGGGGACTGGGGCTGGAGGGCGGGCAGGCGAGAAGAAGAGAAATGGACAATTTGAGCTCTATCTTGGAAGTCAATTTTTAGAAGCAGAATCGACAGGATATGCTGATGGAATCACTGCTGGGGAGTGGCAAGGACGGAAAAGAAGAAATCCAGGAGGGCTCAGGTTTTTGATTTGAACAACCAGGCAGGTGGTTGTTCCATTGCTGAGTGGGAAGACTGAACTTGGGGATAGGTAGGGAGTTAAAAGTTTGATTTTGGACATGTTAACTTTCAGGCACTCAGCAGCTTTCTCTGATTAGGGAAGATCAGGAACAAGCACTCTGGTAACAAAGTCTTGGTTTCTTTCTGGCTTCTGGAGGGGAGCCCTCAGGGGAGTGCAGAACTCTGTGTCGCTGGGAAGCCAGAGCTCAGTGAGGTTCTATGTGTCCTGCTAGGGCTGAGTCAGTCATGGCACTTTTAACATTTCCAAAGGCAGAGCCAATTAGGGGATTTACAAATGCCCTGGGTTTTAAAATCACCAGGGAAATTTTAACTAAAATTAACTGCACATTAGGAAGATACATTATTATAACTTTTTCTTTTTAACTGCAAGGCTGTTAACACAGCTAATGACCTGCATCATTAGATGCTAGACAATTTTTCTCTCCCGTAGAGGAAAACGAGCTCACAGGAATGGCCTATCCTCTCACTGACCCAGAGGAAAATACAAAAACAGAAACAAGCCCTTCTTTACCATCAGGAAGCCAAGAACTTCAAGTCAAAGGCGTGTTTTCCCTACAGAGCACTGCTTGGATCTTCCCAGCCCTCTTTCAGTAAAACAGAAAATAATTATTTTTAAAAATCTATTAATAATAATCCTTTTCTCTTCGCAGCTGAGGTCAGGCCTATACTCATTTAGTCCATTTCAAAGTCTGCACTGCTCAGAAATTTTCAAATCCTTTGATTTGAAATAGTGATTCAGGCTATGAATTTACAGCTTAGAAAAATTATCATAAACATAGAAGGCAAAGTTTTTTTGCAAAACTCTTCACCTCAGTATTTTTATTGGAAAGAATCTAAAAGACCAGCAATAGCAGGATGGTTAAATAAACTATACTACAGTCACATGCAGAATAGCACATAGCTGTTTAACTGTTTATGAAGAAATTTTATTAACCTGGGAAAAAATACTTGCATTAGAGGAAAAAAGGCAGGATGCTTACTTGATTATACACCAAGAAAACTCTGTAAATAAGAACAAAGACTGCATAGAAGAAAGACTGGAAGGAATGATATCAAAATGGCAACAGTGATGGCCTTATTTTCTCGGCATCTTCCAAATTCTTCACGATAGGCACGATGAGATACAAACTGCAGTCCTTCGTCATGAAGGAATTATGGGAAATTTAATTCCAGGAGGATTCTCAAGGTCAAGAGACTATGTACATACCAATTCAACAATAAGGCAAGTGGGTATAGGTGGTGATGGGGAGGGGGAGAGAGGGAATGGGGACAGAAAGGCACACATATTTACTGAATGGAGAACTCACATTTATTGAATGACGACCAAGTAAAGGGTTTCCTTCATCCTGACCACAACCATTTGAATTAGGTATTACTATTTCCTTTTTACGGGTGAGGAACTTGAGGCTGAGAAAGGTAAGTAATTTGTCCAAACCACAATTAGAATTAGAATTTCAACCAAAACCCATGCTCTTTCCACGTTAGCAGAATTACAGGACTTGGTGATGGATATAAAGTCTGAGAGAGAGGGAGGAACCAGAGATAATGTTTAAGGTTCTTTGCCTTGGGCAGCAGGGTGGATGGTGTTGCTACTCACCGAGACAAGAAGCAACAGCAGGTGTGGGAGAAGAGCTTGAGTTTTGTTTGGGAGTGCTGATTCTAAGGTGCCTGAGAGGCATCTTAGTGGAGATGACTAGTAGGCAGCTGTATAACCAGTTCTAAATTGTATAAGCAAGACTGTAATCTGGAGGTACAAATTTGGGGACCTCTGGATGGTAAGACAGCAACTGAAGCCTTTAGAGTGGATACGACTGTCCTGAGAGAGTACCTAAGTAAAAATGAGGTCTTTGATAGAACAGCTATGTTTAAGAGCTGGACAATGGAGACTGAGAAGGAGTGGCCATGGGAGTTTTGAGTTATGATGTTACAGGAGCCAAGGAGAGAACATGTCTTAAGGAGGCAGCGTCAAATCCTTCTAAGAGGTCAAATAAGAGAGGAATAAGCATCCCAAACAAAGAATCCATTGGATTTAGCAACAAGGACTCTTGGGAGAGTGGTGGGAGCAGAGATCAGGCTATGATGGGTTGAAAAATTAGTAGAAGGTAAGGAAATGATGATCCTGAGTATATAGAACTCTTTTAGCAAATCAGACAGTGAAGAGGAAGAGCCAAGATGAATGTAATGGAATGGGATAGGTAATAGGGTGTGGGATTGAAGGAGAGTGTTGTTTAAATGCTGCTAGGAAGGAGGCACTATAGAGGGAGGGGGTGAAGACACAGGAGAGACAGAGATAAATGCAGCGTCAAAGTCTGAGATGACAGGAGGGATTAGAATTCAACACACAGTGGAAGACCCTTTCTCCACTGTAGCAGTAGGGAAGGCTGAGCAGGGATGCAGATATATCTGTGGATTGGCAAGGCGGGGATGGGGATGGTGGTGGTTTGGAATGTTTCAGTTTGATTTTTGTTCTTTTCTGAAGATTAGGAGGCCAAATTATCTGCAAGGAATGGAGGGTTTGGTGAGGGAAGGAATGGGAGTTGGAGAAAAGTGATGAAGGTTTGAAATTGCTTCTTTGGAGAATAGGAAAAACAGTTGACCAGGGAAGAGCATGAGGCTTGCCAGGGAGCATTAAGGGTCCAGCTGAGGCCACAGGAACTGAAGTTACTGTAGCAACCATCTGCCCAGTTGTTGATTTTTTTCTAGTAACCTAGACATTGGCATGAAGAAAGTGAGGTTGGTCCAAAGCTCAGCATTTGCCAGGAAGGTTTGAGGGAAGAACAGGTTTGAGAGAGCAAGGGAGCAGAGATATGATATTGGCAACAGATGAACCAGGGACTCTAGGGGGGAACAGGCAGGAAATAAAAATGAAAGTGGTTGACTGGAAGAAAACAGAAGGCTCTGGGTGACAAATGTCTTGTATGGAGCTAATATTTATTAAGTATATCCTCTGCCCTAAGCGTCTTTCCTGTGTGACTTTAATCCTCTCAACAGCCCTGGGAGGTTGGTTTCTACCCCTATTTTACAGAGGAGTTTTAAGTATTTAGCCTAAACTACCAAGTAAGTGGCAGAACTGAAGTGTGGTCCATATTGCCAACCACTGGGCTATACTGGCCTCCTAGGTCAAGGAGAGGAGTTGTGGGAGTCACTGGAAGAGGGAGTGGGAGGGACTGAAGGCTGTGGTCAGAGAGTAGGCCATGTCTGACCTTGGAGATGGGGCAGTCAACCACAAGATCCAAGGAGAAGTCAAGGAAAGGAGAGTCAGAGATAGGGGTGGAGGGTTCTCCATGAGAGGTTTGAAATTCACCCAGGATGATGATATGCTGTTTCCCAGATAGACCAATCAACAAAGTGTGTCCCCACAAGTGTGCAGGTGTGTATATATAGGTACCTACTATGTGCAAGGTTCAATACATGAATGAATGAGTCCAACTGGTCCTTGTAGCAGACACAGGTACATAGCCAGCAGTCATTTCCTCCTGCCTAATGATACCCTAGTTTCATTCAGCTATTCACCTTCCTACCCTAGTCCAGGGAATCCAGGGGTGAGCAGATCCAGTCTCCAGGGATGGGCCTGACAGTTAGAAGGTAACCTCATATACCTTTCAGCAATTGATCAGGAACCCAAGCCAATCAGTGCATGGCATTTCCGGGCCCTTGGAACTGGTTCAGGAATGGACAAGTGATCCA